TTACACTGTATTATGTAAATAATTTTGTAGTGTATTTGATGTATTCAGTAAATGCATCACTTTTATGACACATGGGTATCATATCTGCCCATTGTGTAGCATCATCAACAATTGTAAGTATGTATTTGTATTTGCTGTATGCTTGTATAGGTGCTGGACCCTATATATTAATATGTAGACATTCTCTGTATGTTTTAGAAATTGCAGACATTTGTATTTTAGGTATATTGTTACATTGTATGTTTGCATGCATACAATCATTACATTGTACATTCTTATTGTCTGTTACTTTTCATTGTATTATTTTGGGATGATTTTGTATGAGTTTGTATAAATACTCAAAGTTAATATGACCCATTCGTTTGTGTAAGTCAATTATAGTTATTGTGTTAATGTTCTGTTAGTAATGATGATACAATACTATCATATATAACTTATTGTGTACTTGTATTTCTCCAATCTTTTTATTTGCAGGTGAATAGATAGTACATGTATTGTTTGTTTTTACTAATTTGTGTCCTGCTTTGCATAGTAATGCTTCACTAATTAATGTGAAGTTTAGATTGGGATGATAGTATACATTATGTAGCATGATACTGCTTACATTTGTTTCATTTGTTCTGTGTTTGTTGTTTGTATCTTGTCATATTCTAATTATCATCACTCTACTTTGTCTGAGTGTGATTATTGTTTTGTTTGCAATTGTAACGTTTATAGGGTTTGTATATTGTATGTTTGTTAATCAAAATAGATAGGGTGTAGCATGGATATTAGCACCTGAATCGAGTATGTTAATACAATGTATAAGTTTTGTTGTTCCATAAGAACATGTATTAATGCATACATTTGGGTTATATTCCCTGAGGAATTTGTCAAGCATGAGTTCCCCTTGTATTTCTTGCATTTGTTTGTTGTTTATAGTGTCTGGTGTTAGCATTTTGTTTTCTTTGTCAATAAACACTACTGGGTCTGTAAGCATAGCACTCATTGTTTGAGCTGTAATTTGTTGTGATGTAGATACATTTGTCATTGTCATTGTTTGCTTTTTTCATGCTTCCTTCATAGTGTCTGTTACTAGACTGTAGCACTCTTTGGACATATGTCCATATTTGTTACAATTGTAACATTTTGTTGTCTTGTAAGGCTTTGTGTTGCCTCCACCACATCCTTGTCCTCTTGTTTGACCTTGTGTAGGCCCTAGGGATAGAGGGTGATTATTTGTTATTTTATTATTATTATTTAGCATACTACATTTATTCTAGTGGTTCTGCATTTGCCACTCAGTAAATGCATTGTGTAATTTGTGAATTAATTTTGCCAGTGTGAACACCTGACATTGAGCCACAGTAACTGTAGGTAGGCTATTGTAATGTGTGTTCTGCCTATTGATCATCATTACAACCCACTTGTACTCTCTTAGAGTAGCAAGATTTATTGCTGAGATGTAAGTATTATTATCTGGTGCTTTACTGTGAGCTACCAGTTGCACATAGACTTGTTCTATTTGGTCTAGTGTCTTGTCAAACTGCAAAACATGTCCTCTAGCTGTGAACAGTACTAATATATTGACTGTGTGAGTCAACATGGTTTGCACATTGTATCAATCAGCTAGTGCCTGCATGAGGTCTTTTGTTGTTTTGTGCATTGTAACATTAGCATACACTGTATCTGATATTGTCTTTGTTATGAAATGATACAATAGTTTCCCTGTGTGTGTGTTGTCTGCATCTGTGCTAGGGGGATTGTTTGTAAGATGGTCACTGAGTAGTATTACTGCTAGTACATTCATAATACATAGTTGCCATATCTTATAGTTCTTTGTGCTTGTAAGCTTCTCTATGTCTTTAAAGAATGTAGCAAGTTGATTGTCATTGATCTTTAGAGACTCAAATGTTAACATAGATTGTGCCATTGTTAGAGGCATTGCATTTGTAGGTGGAGCACTAGTACTAGGAGGGGGGGTAGACGTCTGAGGTAGAGGTTGCATTTGTGGTGTTGTTTGTGTCAATAGTGCCATTCACAAGCCAGCAAGGCTCATAACCTGTTAAAACAGGGAGTTTGGAATGGCACTTAGATATATGTGCATATATGTGCACCCTTATATACTAGATACATTGTGCTATACTAGTAAATGAGACATAAAACACAGTGTGTCAAATAGATAATGAAAAGGAACAGTAAGCACAGCTGAGTCAAAACAAGCAGCTGTGTACTTGCTAGCACTGTCTTGTCATACCTTAGACTTGCATCCATATTAATATTCTCTGAGATATTTAGATGGAGTCTATATTCATCACTGTGTTTGTGAACATCTGCACAGTTAATCTCAGAAAAATTTACAAATTGTAAATGCAACTCAAATGAACAATCAATATGTCATGCATGCATATCGTTGGCGTTCAACGCGATCTACAACATTACTGTCATTTTCATAAATATTGTCACACGCGCGATTCGTGATTTTCGTCACACTAAGTACACTCAAATACAAAATCTATCATAACTCAACTAATACTTAACCAAATTACATGATCTAAGTTGTAAAAAATATACTTTTAAAGTGTCTTTCATATCCCAGAAAAAATAAAGTAAAATGAGCAAAATTTGAGCAAGATACAACACAATATGTGAGTTTTCCCTATATTTCATGTATATGAGTTTTCCTGGCCCTAAAACTGATTGTACAATACTATAAACTAGTCTAAATGAAGAATATAGTTTTATTATTAATTTACATATTGAATTCTAACTAGGATACAGAATATACATATAAGTATAATACTTATTTAAGTTTGCTAAAAATTGAG